AGGCCTTGGATAAGGTCTAGATCATTCAGGATAGACTTCGTACGACTTAATCCAGGAATAAGAGTTATGCCAACCGTAAGGTTCGTGATATGGCATTCATGGTCAGAGAGAGAGAGAGAGAGAGAGAGAGAGAGAGAGAGAGAGAGAGAGAGAGAGAGAGAGAGAGAGAGAGAGTGGTTCTTCGGGTATCACCCATGAAGGGTGTGATACGGTTTGGGAAGAAGGGTAAGTTAAGCCCTAGGTATATCGGGCCTTTTAAGATCCTTGAGCGAGTGAGAGATGTGGCCTACAGACTTGCATTGCCACCAGGTTTATCAACAGTACATCCAGTGTTTCATGTGTCCATGCTTTGAAAGTATCACGACGATCCATCCCATGTGTTATATTTCAGCACTGTCCAGTTGGAGAAGGATTTGACCTACGAGGAGAAGCTAGTAGCCATTTTAGACCGGCAGGTTCGTCAGTCGAGATCGAAGAGTTAGCCTTTGGTTCGAGTGCAGCAGAGAGTTCAACCAGTTAAGGCAGCACCTTGGGAGTCCGAGTCTGATATTCGGAGCAAATATCCCCACCATTTCACCGATTCAGGTACTTTTCTATGGTCGTTCGAGGATGAACAGTTGTTTTAGAGGTAGAGAATGTGATGACCCAAAAGGTCATCTTAAGTTTTAGAACTCGATTTCATGTTCCGAGGCCTTCAAAAACTTATTTTATTCCTCCTCGATTTGTGTGCATAGTCCAGTTGTGTTTTCGGAAAGCCTTTATGTGGAAAATTGATGAAATAATAATTTTTGGAATAAAAAGTTGATTTTAGTTGACTTCGGTCAGCGTTTTGAGTAAACAGACCTGGACCCGTGTTTTGACGGTCCCGGTGGATCCGTAGTAAAATATGGGACCTAGATATGCCCCGAATTGAATTCCGAGGTCCCTAGCCCGAGAAATGAATTTTTGATGAAACTTATAAGACTGAAATTATAATGGTTTAAAGAATTTTGGTGATGTTTGATTTGGTTAGTATTGGGTCCGTATTTTGGTTTCGGAGTCCGATACAAGTCCGTTATGATATTGATATCCTATTTGTGAAATTTGGTGAGAAACGGGACTGATTTGACGTGATTCAGACATTCGGTTGAGAAAATAGAAGTTTTAAAATGTTCTTGAAAATCTCATGCAATTTGGTGCTAAATTCGTGGTTCTAGGTGTTATTCTGGCAATTTGATCACACGAGTAAGTTTGTATGATATTTTAAGACTTGTGTGCATGTTTGGTTTGAAGCCCCGAGGGCTCAGGTGAGTTTCGGATAGGCTACGGGGTGATTTGAACTTACGAATTTTTGTTGGTATGCTTCAGGTCTATTGACTTCGTATTTGTGAAGTCTGGCTCACAAATGCAAGCATCGCATTTGCGAAGAAAGTTTGCATTTGCGAGCAATGGGGCTGGGAGGGGACCTTTGCAATTGCGAAGCTCAGGATCGCAATTGCGATCAGTATTGGCCGCATTTGCGAACAATTGTTCGCATTTGCGATGTTAGCAGGTCCAGGTCGGTCTTCGCATTTGCGAGGCAAAGTTTACGTTTGCGGGGTTCGCATTTGCGGACCCCTGATCACAAATTGATACCTGCAACTGGTCAAAAATGATTTTGGATGGGATTTTTAATCTATTCTCCGATTTTTCAAAACCTAAAACACAAGAGGCGATTTTCAAAATACTTTTTCTTCCCCAAATCATAAGCAAGTGATTCTTAAGTAGTTTCTTTCAATCTTTTACCTCTTTTTACAATATTTGAACCTAGAATCTAAGGTTTTCATGGTGGAATTGGGGATTTTTGGGTAGAAATTAGGAATTTTGAAATTTGGGGATTTAGACCTCAAATTGAAGTCGGATTCCAAAACTAATTACATATTCGGGCTCGGGGGTGAATGGGTTTTGGTCCGAACCTTGAGTTTTGACCAAGCGGGCCCAGGGTTTTTTTGACTTTTGGGGGGAAATATTGGGAAACATATAATTATGTATTGAAATTGATTCCTTTAGCGACAATTGATGTTATTAAGTTAATTATGAATAGATACGAGTGGTTCGGAGGTGGAAACTAGAGGAAAAACGGTAATTGAGCTTTGTGTTAGCTGTTGGATTGAGGTAAGTATTTTGTCTAACTTCAACTCGATGGATTAGGGATCCCCAACTTAATTGCTATGTGAAAATCCATGTGTGTGGCGTATAGGTGAGGTGACGAATACCTATATGCCCCCAATTTATCTGTTTTGACTGTTCCCTTCCCGTTCTTAATATATTGTTCTCTGCCTTAACTACTACCTATTTAACTGATATTTTCATGATTAGTTACTACTTGTCGGATATTGTTTTCGTTGTTAAAAGTATTGGATATTACGTGGTTTCATTGATTCATTTTATTGGTTTAAGATGGCTATCAGTGTTTATTAGTATACTTTGAATTGGTTTCACTGAGTAGTATAATTCAAGTGAAGTCTCATAATTTTACCGCTTTCCGTTTGTTTCAGTTGAGGTCGAATACCATGGGGAGTTTTGAGCCAAATTGTGAAATTTCTGTTCTTATTGTGGGATTGGTACTGATATAGTGGAATCGGGTTGCATGCCGCAATAGGAGGAATAAGGGTGATATATTGAGGAGGAATAAGGGTGAAATGTTATTATATGGTGGGATCGAGTTGCACGCTGCAACAGGAGGAATAAGGGTGGATTTATATGAATTAATAAGGATGAATGTTCATAGTGTTACTGATTATATGGTGGGATTGGGATGCGCGCCGCATCAATTTATTGTTTATGTATCCTTCCTCTCTGTGAAGTTATTCTGTAGTTTTGTATCTCACTTAAGAGTTGGTTATTAGTGGGTACTAATAAGATATTTGAGTTATGTATTCATTTTTTTGTTTCAAGTTACAGTTTCATTTTGTTCTTTTTCTTTTTATTACATACTGTATGTAGGTTATATTGTAATTGCCCCGCCGTAGCCTCGTCACTACCTCATCGAGGTTAGGCTCGGCACTTACCAGTACATGGGATCGATTGTACTGATACTGCACTCTGCACTTTATGTGCAGATTTCGGAGCATGTAGTGGCTGATTGAGAGATTGGTTGTAGGTTCACGGTTTGGAGACCCAAGGTAGTCCTGTTGGCACCCGCAGGCCCTGGCGTCCCCTTCTACATTTCTACATTTCTATTTTTTTTCGTTTCAAAATAGATTTAATTTCTTTCAGACCGATATTTTTAGTAATTCATAGTATGTTCGTGGATTGTGATACCAGATTCTGGGTAGTAGTAATAGCTATGGTACTGTTAATAGTATATAGACAAAAGGTTATTTATGTACTTCCGCATTTACTTCTACTTGATTTAGTTTGTTAAATTTTAATCTATTAATGTAAAGGAAAAAGGTTAATAGAACTCTAACATTGGCTTGCCTAGCGAGTGTGATATTAGGCACCATCACGGTCCCGATGGTAGGAATTCTGGATCGTGACAATTCCTAAGATGATGGACAGGAATATTCTATTGAATATTCCCCCATATTGTACTTTCTTAGGGCTCTCGAGCGATATTCCTTATAAATAGGAAGAGAGAGGAAACAAAAAGCGGATTCGGAACTTTTATGAAAGAACATCTTGTAAAGAATTGACTATCAAGAATATACAAAAAACTTGTCTCTTTAGATTCCATCACTTTTGTTTGAATATAAATAGGACACATCTTTAGTTCACCTTTTGTTATCTCTTTTGTTTGATTCCATCACATAACATTCCTCTTTAGTTCACAAGATCCAAGGACACATAGTTCACTTCTATTATCTGCTGTCACACGTTGCCTCAGAAGAAGGAATCATCCACCTTACCCAACATTTGGGTGACATATTCCTTCTTATTACATTAAATTCCATTTATCACATTTATTGCATGTTTTCATTCTCATATTTATTACTAATCATTGAGCATTAACTTGGCATTTATTGACTTGAACACGGTCCCACACCATCTAAGTTGTTTAATTTCAGATCTGAAATTTATTACTTTTAACTTGGATTTACCCCTTGTCCATTTATTAAATTGGTTTAACTAAAAGGGCTTAATACTTTTGGGTCAAATAATGTGGCGCCGTCTGTGAGGAATTCCTAGTTAAAATGTTTAGTTTCTTCTAGATCTAAAAAACACAACAAAAGCTCCTTTTTTCTTGGTTGCACGAGCTAACAATGGCAGGAAAATGGGAGGATAGAATGAAAGTAGTGATGGGTGTCACCACCAATCTCCTAGGTACCATCAACGAGGTAGACAGGGAAGACGAGGAGAACGTGACGCCAAGCGTCTCACCCAGGCAAAGTGATTCACCTCCTCCTTATGGGAGTGTAACCGCTTCACATGAGAAGGGAGCCTCTACGTCCACAACGGAAGAAGCATCACCCGTAGTAAAAAAAGTTATTGGAGGCGTGGTGACAAGTACCCTAAGCAGTATACTCGACAAACCCGCTCAAGAGGCGAGTAGGAACACCGCACGAGTCGGCACCCCAATAACCATCAATGAGCAACACGTTCCTCCCCCAACAAGTAAACCCTCACACTAATGTTGATGCAGGTAACGACGCCCTCATAGTTGTTCTGAAGAAAAGGGAATAAATGGAGAATGAGAATAAAATGCTCCACGACCAAATGAGGAAGCACCAAAAAAGAGTTGATAAGATACCAAGCTCCCCGAAACTCCTACCAAAACGGGACGTCGGCCAATTCGTGGAGCAGCCATACAATGAGGAGGCAGCCCCACATGCCATACCCAAAACCTTCAAAATGCCACCATACCTAAAAATATTCGACGACACATCGGACCCTAAAGACCATATCATTCATTATGTCACGACGGTAAAAGGCAACGACCTTTCGAAAGAGTAGGTACCGTCAGTGCTGCTGAAGAAGTTCGGTGAAACCCTAATAGGGGAGCCTTAACATGGTACTCACAATTACCAACATGCTCCATAATGACATTTGAGGAAATGGCCGACAAGTTCGTCACCGCCCATGTTGGGGCCAAGAAAGCAGAAGCCAGAGTGAATGATATATTCATCGTCAAACAATCGCCTGGCGAAGGGCTCAGGGACTTCCTTGCCTTGTTCAATAGGGTAAGAATGAGCATGACTAACATATCAGAAGGGATAGCAGTAGCGGCCTTTCAAAATGGGTTAAATAGGAACGGATCGAGGGCGACAAGAAAATTACTAAATAGACTCATGAAATACCCTCCCACCACCTGGGAAGAAATTCACAATGCTTACTATGCCGAGGTGAGAGCAGATGAGGACGACCTTAATGGTCCAACCCAACGACTAACGACAGTCCAAATGGAATCAAGGAAAGATCGTCGGAACGACAGCCGAAGAGATCAAGAAGGTCCACACCTCAACCGGGAAAGGCACCAACCGTACATCAGAACGACTGCCCTACTACCTCTCCGCCAAGCTGAAGGGTCGTCCAGGCCACAAACGGGAACTCACCAAAATGAAAGAGGTATGCCTCCACTTTTATCTGCTCACAATTTTTGTATTTCTTTTTCATAAATAGTTTATGCCTAGGAGAATCTCAGTCCCAAGGTGAAATGGCCACAAAATATGAAGTTGGACCCAAATTCCAGAAAGTCGAATGCCCTCTATGAGTTCCTTCAGGAACGAGGCCACAAGACCGAGGATTGCATAGCCTACGACAAGAAGTAATGAACATGATCCACCAAGGACATTTAAAGGAGCTGATGAGCGACCGAGGGAGAGCCAATTTCGCCCGTGGACGAGAACCACATCAAGGCCCCCCAAAGCTACCCTTCCCCGCCCGCACCATCCAAATGATCATTGGCGGAGGCGATAAAGCAACAATCAACCATGTGAAGTTCACCACCACACACAAATTGAAGCAGTCGATCACCCATGAACGATATGATGACCTCGAATACAGTATCATCTTTGATAAGTCAGATATCCACGATTTGACCTTTCCTCATTTCGATGCTATTGTCATTACTTTACAAATTTTAGATACCGATGTAAAAAGAATCATGGTAGACAATGGAAGCGGCGCGTGTATTATCCACTCCAGAATTTTCACACAAATGAGACTCGAGGATGAGATAGTTCCACGTTGCATAACAGTAACAGGTTTTAACAATGCAGTTGAACGAACCTCCGGAGAGATAACACTGCCCGTTCTAGCCGGGGGCGTCACCCTGGAAACAACATTCTATGTCATGAACCAAGACACAACCTACAACGCCATTATAGGGCGACCTTGGATACACGCCATGAGGGCCATCCTGTCCAGTTTATATCAAGTCATCAAGTTCCCTACCCCATGGGGAATATTCAGCATCCACGGGGAACAACACACAGCTAAAGAATTCTATCGCATCTCCCAAGATTGCACATACACTCAACAGTTAAGAGAGGAAGGCTCAGGAGCATAGAAATTACCGAAGTCGGGGCCCAAGTCTGATGAACAAACAGACGTCATCAGAGACCCCGACGTCGTAGAAGCCACATGGTCAATAGTGGAAGACCTCAACCCCGTCCAGCTGGACGAAAGAGACCATAACAAAAAAGCCTACATCGGCCACAAACTCACAGAACCAGGTAAATTTCATAAATTTTTAAATAACAACGCCGATCTGTTTGCTTTCTTCCATGCAGATATGCCAGGTATCCTAAAAGACATTGCAACACACAAGCTGAATGTCGATCTACTCTACCCGCTGGTACGATAAATCAGAAGAAAGTTCAATGCTGCAATCAACAAGGCTGTCCACGAAGAGGTAGAAAAATTGCTCGACAACGGTTCCATTCAAGAGTCAAAGTACCCCCAATGGGTCGCCAACGTCGTCATGGTGAAAAAAGGGGAAATGGCGCATGTGCGTAGACTTCACGGACCGAAACAAAGCCTGCCCGAATAACTTCGACCTGTTTCCTCACATCGATCAGCTCATCGACGCAACAGTGGGACACGAGTTATTAAGCTTCTTCGACACCTACTCAGGCTACAACCAAATCCTAATAGAGGAGGAGGACAAAGAAAAAACCACCTTCATCACCTATCAAGGGACGTACTGCTATAGAGTCATGTCGTTCGGGTTGGAAAATGCAGGGGCAACTTATCAGAGGCTGGTCACCAAGATGTTCAAAGAGAAACTCGGCAAAATAATGGAAGTCTATATAGATGACATATTAGTCAAATCAAAAAGAAAAGAGGAACATATCGACCACCTGAGGAAAGCCTTCGACACACTTAGACGATACAATATGAAGCTGAACCACGAAAAGTGTGCTTTCGGCGTGACCTCGAGGAAGTTCCTCAATTTTTTGGACCCTGACCAGATCAAGGCTATAGAGGGAATACCTAAAATTTTGACCAGCAAGAAACAAGTACAGAAGTTGACCGACCGTATAGCCGCCCTGTCAAGGTTTATCTCACGATCCTCTGACATATGCCACAAATTTTTCAACGTGCTCAAAAAGGACAACGGACTCCAGTGGAATTCCTAATGTGTCCATGCCCTAAGAGATCTAAAGGCATACTTGTCCTCGCCCCCATTGCTCGCTAAGGCAGAACCAGGAGAACATCTCTGAATCTACCTGGCCATATCTAACGTCGTAGTAAGTGCAGTCTTGGTGCGTGAAAATAAAGGTACGCAATCTCCAATCTATTACATTATCAAAACCCTGGTCGATGCTGAAACGAGGTATCCCCACCTCGAAAAATTGGTTCTGGCATTAGTTGTAGATTCACGAAAGCTGAGACCCTATTTTCAATGCCACCCCATCTCGGTGGTCACGACCTTTCCCTAAGAAGCATCTTACATAAACCCGAGCTATCAGGTAGATTGGCCAAGTGGGATATCGAATTAAGCAAGCATGATATAACATATCAGCCGCGAATAGCGATAAAGTCGCAAGTACTCACCGACATAGTCACCGACTTTAATGCCAAAATACTGCCTGAGGTCGAGCAGGAAGCCGCACGTACCTCCCCAAGTTACTTGACCTATGCGTCCTGTACACCGATGGTGCCTCCAACACGTCAGGATCTGGACTGGGACTCATGCTCGAGGTCCTAACAGGCGAAGTCATTTTCCAATCCATATGGTGTCCCGACATTACTAACAATGAGGCCGAGTATGAGGCCGCAATTGCAGGACTGAAACTAACTCTCAAGTATGGAGCATGATGAGTCATCCTTCGATGTGATACACAACTCGTCGTCAACCAAGTCATAGGGACTTTCCAAATCAAAGAACAAAGGCTACAAAAATATCAGGCAGAATTCATAACCTACTGCTCGAGTTCGATGAGTGCCAACTCGACCAAATACCGCAAGCACAAAACATCGAAGAAGACGGCCTCGCCAAATTAGCAGCAACCACCAAGAACATAAACAGAAAAGAAAACGTGATCACCCTCCTTCATTCGTCAATAGACCAAATTGAGGTAGGCACTATAAACTTGACTTGGGACTGGTGCAACCATATTATGTCATATTTTCATGATGGAGTGCTCCCACTTGACAAAAAAAGCCAAAAAGCTTCGAATGTAGGTGGCCTAATACAGCGTCATCAACCATGAGCTGTACAAAAGAACATTTGGCGGTCCCTTGGCGAAGTGCCTAGGACCAAACCAAACTAGGTGCATCCTCGAAGAAGTACACGAAGGACTGTGGAGCACATACCGGTAATCGAGCCCTCGGTAGATGCTCCATACAGGCAGGCTATTATTGTCCCACCATGAAAAAGGAAGTTGTCGACTTCATTAGAAAGTGTGAACAATGCCAAAAATATGCTCCAATGATCCACTAGGCGGGCGACCACCTCCACTCTGTCACATTGCCTTGGCCATTCATCAAATGAGGTATGGACATCGTCGGACCCCTTCCAGCAGGACGAGGTAATATACGATTTCTTTTAGTTTTAACTGACTATTTTTTTGAGCGGGTAGAAGTAGGTGCATTCGCCTAAATACACGAATAGGAAGTTATCACATTCATATGGAGGAACATCATATTCCACTTTGGCATCCCCAAAGAAATTAGTTGTGACAACGGACCCCAATTCACCAGAAAAAAGACCTCCGATTTCTTCGAGAAAAGGCACATCAAGCGAATACTCTCCATGCCATATCATCTCGCAAGCAATGGTCAGGCGGAGTCCTCCAACAAAATAATATTGAACATCATGAAGAAGAAGCTTGAGGACGCCAAGGGACTGTGACCGAAACTGCTATCAGAAGTGCTATGAGCTTATCACACCACACCCAAAACAAGCACATGAGAAATGCCATATTCACTAGTCTATGGGACTGACGTAGTGATACTAGTCAAAGTTGGGGAACCAAGTTTGAGATACTCCAACGAGGGCGGACCAAGTAACGATGAAAGAAGAAAGCAAGACCTCGACGAAATAGATGAGTGAAGAGACATGGCCTGCATAAGAATGATAGCTCAAAAACAGCAAGCAGAATGGCACTGCAACAAAAAAGCCAAAGTCAGACCACTTAAGGTAAGGGACTATGTACTCAAAGCCATAACAAAAACGAGCAAAGACCCACGAAAAAGACAAACTGGGAACCAATTGAGACGGAGCATACAAAATCACGGCAACAACAAACAAAGGATCATTCCAACTAGAAACAATGGAGGGAAAACTACTACCAAACAATTAGAATGTCACCCTTCTCAAATACTTCAACTTCTGAAGATGAACGTCCTCCAAGTTGTACTCTTTTCCCCTCACCCAAGTCTAATCCCAAATGGGTTTTCTCGGAGAGGTTTTTAATGAGACGATGAAGGGGGCATCTCGAAGTTTAGGTATTAAGTTCACAGCCCGCCTATCGACTACTTCTCTAGGCCGAGCAAAGAAGGAACTAGATAGATTGGGACACCTCAAATGTGTGGACTGAAAAGAAATATGTAATATTCTTCAATGAATAAACAAAGTAGTATGACCCAAATTTACACAATCATGCCAACGCAAAGGAAATGTACATTCGATATCACTCGAATTATTTTCTAAGTTTACATTCGACCTTGCTCGAATTAACATACATTCGACCTCTCTCGAATTAACATACATTCAACCTCGTTCGAATCGATATACATTCGACATCGCTCGAATTAACATACATTCAACCTCGTTCAAATCGATCTACATTCGACCTCGTTCGAATTGATCTGCATTTGACCTCGTTCGAATTGATATACATTTGACCTCGTTCGAATCGATCCACATTCGACCATGCTCGAATTAACATATATTCAACCTCGTTCGAATCGATATACATTTAACCTCGTTCGAATGAATATACATTCAACCTCATTCAAATCGATCTACATTCGACCTCGCTCTAATTAACATACACTTGACCTTGCTCGAATCGACCTACATTCGATCTCGCTCGAATTAACTCACAATCGACCTCATTCGAATCTCACTCAAATTATTTTCTAAGTTTACATTCGACCTTACTCGAATTAACATACATTCGAGCTCTCTCGAATTAACATACATTCGATCTCTCTTGAATTAACATACATTCGACCTTGTTCGAATCGATATACATTCTACATCGCTCGAATTAACATACATTCAACCTTGTTCGAATCAATCTACATTATACCTTGTTCGAATCGATCTACATTCGACCTCGTTCGAATCGATCTACATTCGACCTCGTTCGAATCGATATACATTCGACCTCGTTCAAATAGATCTATATTCGACCTCATTTGAATCGATTTACATTCGACCTTGTTCGAATCGATATACATTCGACCTCGTTCAAATAGATCTATATTCGACCTCATTTGAATCGATTTACATTCGACCTTGTTCGAATCGATCTACATTAGACCTCGCTCGAATTAACGTACATTCGACCTCATTCGAATCGATATACATTCGATCTCGTTCGAATCGATATACATTCGATCTCGTTCGAATCGATCTACATTCGACCTCGCTCGAATTAACATACATTCGACCTTGCTCAAATCGACTACATTCAACCTCGCTCAAATTAACTCACAATCGACCTCGTTCGAATCGATCTACATTTGATCTCGGTCAAATCAACTTACATTCGATCGACTGAAGGTCAGGGACTTTCTCAGAAAAGAACATACGGGAAAGAAAAAAGAAAGAAGAGCAAGAAATACACAACAAAAGACAACCATTCCATTTCAATACATTTTATAAAGGGCTTGAAAGATGCCCCCACAAAAGAGAGCAGCAAAACACAAAAAAAAAACAAGTACAAAGACTTCACGCTGCATCGTTCCCCCTATCGCCGATGCCACCAGTATACTCATCGCCGTACCAAGGGTCGAAGTCAAGCCCATCTAAGGTATCTCTATCATCATCCCCACTGGGCGTACCAGGATCATAACCGCAGGCATCAAGATCTGCACGTGTCTTGACACAAA